AAAACCAATTTACAAAAACAAAGGAGACATTAATAATCCAGAAAATTACCGGCCTATTACATTAGTCAGTTGTCTGAGTAAACTATTCACCTCGGTTCTAAATAACAGACTTACCACATTTTTGGACTCAATAGATGCTATATCAGAAGTGCAAGCAGGATTTAGGAAGGGATACTCGACAATGGATCACATATTTACTCTTTATAGCCTATAAGACATCTTGAAGAATCGAAAACAAAAATTATTCTGTTGTTTTATTGACTTTGAAAAAGCATTTGACAATATTTGGAGAATTGGACTTTGGGGTAAACTTATTAAAGAAGGTATACACGGTAAATGTCTACAAGTTATCCTAAATATGTATAAAGGAATTAAATCATGTGTGACTAACAAAGATGAAACAAGTCCAATGTTCTCATGTACTAAAGGTGTCAGACAGGAAGAGAACTTATCACCTCTTCTTTTCTCCATCTTCCTAAATGACCTTGAACCTTTTCTTATATCTCAAGAATGTGAAGGTATAACTGTTAATAATGACTGCCAATTATAACTACATCAATAGTTCTTTTTGCATTATTATACGCCGATGACACAGTACTAATAGCAAAATGTAAGGAAGACCTACAGAAGACTACCATGGATTCACACAATACTGTAAACACTGGAAATTGAATATTAACGTAAAAAAGTCCCAAGTAAAAATTTTTGGAGTAATCAAGAAACACTACGAAACCAAATTCTCTCTGTGCAAAAAACATTTAGAAAACGTTAAATCATACAAATACTTAGGTATTATATTTAATAAAAACTGTACATTTAATGTAAACAATAAAGAACTGTGTGAGAAGGCAGCAAGGGCAGTCCATTTTATCTTAACAAAAACTAGATATTATAACTTATCTATAAGTTGTCAGTTAAAACTATTTGATGCTATTGTTCTACCAATTTCCATATATGGATGTGAAGTATGGGGGTTTGAAAATTTATCAATGATTGAAAATGTACATTTATCTTTTTTAAGAAAACTAATTCCTGTAAAGAAAAGTACACCTTTATATATGATATACGGCGAAACAGGCCGAAAACCTCTGTATATTACTGTCATGACAAGAACCATCACTTTTTGGGGAAGATTGCTATCTGGAAAAGCCACCAAACTTTCATTAATTGTGTATAAAAATTTGTATTATAACTACACTGTAAATAATCAACACCAAAATTGGCTAAAGTTTGTTAAACATATTCTTGTTATGACAGGTAATAACAATGTTTGGATAAATCAGTCATTTTCATCAGTTGATTGGCTTACATGTGTGATTAGAACTTGTTTGAAAGATCAGTTTATACAACGGTGGAATTCTGATGTCACAAATTCAAGTAAAGGAAAATTTTAAAAAGTCATTAAAGATAATATCTCACTGGAAACATATCTGTGCAATTTACCAAAACGAGTGTACATACCACTACTACTTTTCAGAACTTCTTGCCATTATTTACCGATTGAATGTGGAAGATGGAATCACACCCCTTTATTAGATAGAAAGTGTACTGTTTGTAAAAGCCAAGACATTGCGGATGAATATCATTATATTTTTAAATGTGAATATTTTAAAGAAGTAAGACAATTATACATACCAAAGACTCTTATTGTACATCCATCTATGTTTAAACTACAACAGATGTTTCATTGTAAAAAATAATATCTTCTTGAAAAAATTATCAAAATATTGTAAAATAGTAATGGCTACATTTAAATTACTATTAAAGCTGCCATCACTATTATACGTCACATCTCCTGTTAAACCTCAACATGCTACTTTTTGTAGCCTTGGGCGTAATAAAGTTCTGTTCTGTTCTGTTCTGTAGCTAAAACAACCAGATGCAAAGACAGAAAAGTAAGTCAATTCGGCTGCGACCAATTAACAACTGAGTCAACTCTCCGCTCTTGTGAGTGAATAACCTAGGCTGAGTAAAATAACGAAAAATAAACACTGAGGCCCCATCCCTAAAATAAGTCACTTACACTACAAAATAGACGATTATGTCGGAATATCCACTAGTCTTAATCGACTGAAGTCTCAGTCACTTTGACTGAACAAGAAAATTCTAAAGTTCCCAAATACCTAGTTAATCAGGGGAAGGATTACTAGAAAAACCGAGTATTGAGCTTAGAAATCAAGGGAAGGCTGATCATCCACGAATTACTAGAAAAAGGAGTATTACAAACCCTAGTAACTAAGTTTGTCTCAGTACAACCAGACTAAGTCAGAATCTAGATCGACATATCCTCAAACCTACTTACGGACGAAACTGACGTGTTTCAACCGTGACTACTTCAGTTGCGAGACAATCGTGAACGATTTAACGAAGTCTGGTGGGTGAAGATTGAGGTCTAGAAAGACTTTAGATATACAGCGCGCGTGCCGGTCGGAGGTGACAACCTCTTCTGGACCGTCGGGGAACTGACTGAGGCACCAAGTCAGTGTATCACTAGACTGTGACATGGGTAAATTTGATCTACGGCGACACTAAATTATTGAGACAAGTCGTAGATATTTCAATGCGTGTGCAACCGTAGCAGATCAAGGGTGATGTAAGAGGACAAGTTCAGGGGACTCTTTTGAAAAAAGTACACTTCGTTGTATTGACATACCAGCATATATGGTCCGCCACATCCAATTTAAACCCCTACGTACCCCCTTTCGAAATCCCGACCACCTCCGTGATCTAGTTGATAGAACATTACCCCAGAGAGCAGAAGGTCTTAAAGACGTTAAATGATGGTACTTGTTATCAAATCTGGCGATCGGCACTAACAGGCTAAAACAAGTACTGGTCGGATCGGGGTCAGTGTAATGTGTCTGAGTTGGGTATTAATGTTAAAATGTTTATCAGTGCGCTGGCACTATAAAATCGGCAGGAGTCCACATTCAATGCCACATCAAACCCCATTTCACCTCATTTTCTAAAACCAGATTAAATAGGACTTGGGAAATCTTAATAATTGAATGTAGAAAAAGATCAATCATTGCCACACACTAATGGACGTTTCCGAGTTGAATTAATATTGCACTCAGTGATTAGTTTTCGAGTTAAACATTGATTTAACTTTGTTATATTTTGAAAAGGACGCCAAAGTCAGTAAAATTTCAGCCAAATCAAGGCTGTCGACCTCAAATGGACTCTTGCCAAGGCAAAACCAGGGTTTTGAAACCTAAGCAATGATCTGTCCCGTCGGATCGTCTGTTAGTTTATCGCCACATTCAGCAATAGTACTGCTACATGACGGCGGTCAATAATCAAGTCTTGGTCAGACAATTTAGTGACTGACATCGTGAATATTGATCCACGCAATTGGGATACAAGGCATGCAGTCAAACCAAGTCCCCGAGCCTGATCATCCCATCCAATTTAGCTGCATATTAACCCTGTTACTGGAGACCTATATTCTTGCCGGGATTCACCGCGTGTGATGATGGGAAGTACTGCTTCAAGTTTTGAACTGCATTTTCATTAAGAAAGCAGCAATTGGAAATATATGTTGTTACCTGTGTAAGCAGACGTACATGTGCAGGAGTCCAGAACTGTCACAGATTCCCTTTATTATTTATTATTTTTATCATAGCGACCATTTGGGGACAAACTTTGTCTGAAAGAACATTAACTTCCAGAGGCTAATTACCTTTAGCCATGGCATGTATATGTCTAGAATCACTTAACTGCCATTATTTATAAGATGCCTATCCCAATTGTTGATCCCTAGTGACACCAACACAACAACCACTGCCTTTATCTCCTGATACATATACAAAAAACTTGTACCGCAAGCCATCTGCTCCATGTTGTTAGTTCCTACAGAGAACCGTAAAGTAATACCTTGCGTATGGAAACCAAAAAAGAAGTGAGTAAAGCTCACATACCCCCGTTATCCCCGCTGGTCAATAGTAAATATAACATATGTTATATTTGGGATAACACTTTCTTAGTAAAGTACAGATTCTAGTCCTTTTTGGGGTTGAATCCCGTCCGGGATTGGAACCCACACCTGCCAGGGTGAGGCACCTAATCGCCAGCACACAAAGTCAGCGATCTAACCCACTCAGCCACCGAGGCTTCCACAAAATGAAAGTCCGACAACTGGTAGTCTAGATCACGTATTTTGAGTACCCCCTGACGAGTGTAATGAAATATTACATATTTCTAACTGATTTTAACTTTAATGTTTTAAAAACTAAGATTGAGTTCCAGTGACAATTGACCCCCCCACCCCCCCACCCCCAATCTCCCATGTTACCAGTGTACCATGAAGGTGATCACCATGGACACCTTTGAATAAAAAAGGACCAGAAATTGTTGATATAATAACACATAAAAAATGGAACAATATCATATAAGAAAATCAATGAATTAATAATTTCCATCTAGCCTTAACAGATATGGTAAAGAATTCATAAATTCAAACTAACACAAAGCACAGATACTTTTGATGATCTACATGAGTGGAAACAATTTTGGAAAATATATTAGCTATACAAAAACTCTACCCAAAATTTATGTTTCACCATGATTCTATGGAAACGGCAAAAATAAAAAAATCAGAATCTTCAAACTAGCAAAAAACACAAGTACTCATTGTGGTTAATGTGTGTAGAAAGTATGGTGAAGCTAGGGTGCATAGTTAAAAAGATATAGGCCGTACAAAACACCCACCCTAAAAGTTTAAGTTTCTTAATATTTCCATGGAAACGGCAAAAACTAAAAAGTTCAGAATCTTCAAACTAGCAAACGGCACAAGTACTCATTGTGGTAAATGTGTGTAGAAAGTTTGGTGAAGCTACGGTGCATGGTTAAAAAGATATGGGCCGTACAAAACACCCACCCTAAAAGTTTAAGTTTAAGTTTAATCAGTAATATTCCAGCTATATGCCGGTGGTCTGTAAATAATCGAGTCTAGATTTGGACCAGGCAATCTAGTGCTTCATATCATGAGCATGGATCTACGCAATTGGGATACGATGACATGCAACAATCAAGTCAGGGAGTCTGACCCGTTAGTCGCCTCTTACAACAAGCATGGGTTGCTGAAGACATATTCTAGCCCGGATCTTCAAGGGTCTCGTAGGTTTTATGAAAACTGTCTTCAGTTACAGCCTATATAACTTTCAGTTTTCCTCCTATATTAGCATAAAGGCAGCCATACAACTACCATGCTGTTGAACTTTATTTAAGTTGTATCATATAATGTCTGTCTGATGTGTTGTCTTAAGACATTTACCACATTGGTGAAACCCATGATCACGGATATGGTGGGGGCATATCTGAAAAGATAATCAAGGTGAACCAGAATCCGAAACCATGATGGAATGTTTCCTGGCACGCCAAAGTGGACGTAACTGTGGTCAAGTGTGCCTCAAACGAGTGGGACAACGGTGCCTCCTGTGAAGTTGTAACGACTGCTGATTATCGTACGGGTGTTCTAATGGACTCATTCACTCAAAAGTAATCTCCATTTATGAGGATCCATGTAACCTCCTGTACACTGGCACAACAGCTGCACATACTGAACCTGCGATAAGACATCCACCTGTACAAAATAGACAATATGTCAGTAAACTGCTGCCTATGATCCATATCTGCAAAATGGAACATGTATTTGCTGTTGATACTGAATTGTCGTTTTTACGAACAAAACGACTATACAGCGTGATTGTAATGCCCATTAATACACAAATAAATCGCATGAAACCACACTATTGTTTCTGGGCTCTAGGTTTGTGTATCGACAGCATCCTGTCTGATGTCTTACCTCCAAAGAAGTAAGTGTTATCGTAGACCTTACTGCTTTCATAGATGATACCTGAAAGAAAAGGGAAGGTATGTTGCATTTCTATTCATCAAAGTATATCTTGAATATTTTTATCCGTTGCTAATGTTAAAACACACATACATAAACACAATCCCAGAATTTCTTCTTGCACTCTATCTGTGTTAGTAAAGGCTAAATTATAAATACATTTAACTGAGGCGCGTAATTATGAATGAAATGTTGCTCTTTGTTAAATAATGTAGGTTCATGATAAATTTTTTAGCTAATATAGCGGGGAAAAACAAAAAGTTGTGGTACGAGTTGAAAGCGCTAGTCAATTAAAACTGTGTTGAATCTTACTTTGACTATTACTATATTTTGCCTGAGAGTTACAACTTTACTGTGCTCTCTCTCTCTCTCTCTCTCTCTCTCTCTCTCTCTCTCTCTCTCTCTATATATATATATATATATATATATCCAAGGTATGATATCTCCACTGACCACCCATGCTTTGTTGCAGAAGTGCCGTAATCTTCTCAATCTCACTTAGCACTATCTCAGCACAGATTGTATCTCTTGGTGTAATTTGAATGGACGGCTATATTCAGGCAAAATCTTTTGAATCGGTCTTAAAAGTTATGACCGCGAATGGATCCAGAGTATGTATAATAAACTTTTCAGCATGGTAAATTCGTTATTGTGTATTTAGTTACCGTATACCTAGTCATATTAGGTGACGCCTCGTCCAATATTTTTCTACGAATATGACACCGTTTTTACGGCAACTAAAGACATCATAACTAATAGTATAATCGATGGCCATTCAATACCCTTCAGAAGATAATCCAGCATCCTGAAACCTTAATCCAAAATGGCATCAATAAAGTCTTACTTGCTACAGGTGGACCAAGAATATATCCGATTCCTATGGCGAAATTAGCTACTCCAAATCCAACAGCGAGATTAGCTACCCCTACACATTCCACAGTCATTGGGCTGATGATAGAATGAAGGCCTCCCCCATACAGGCCATACAAGGCGCTGAACACCATCTGCAGAGAATAGGTGTGTGAGTAAAGCGGGAACACCAGAGCCAGGATTCCTATTATTCCCAGACAGCTAACATGGAGCAAGATGATACTTACATCCTTGTCGTTTGATATCATGCCTGTGAATATTCTCGACACAAGGCTAGTCAGACCCATTGCGGTGAAGAGATTTGCGGACTGAATGCGAGTGCTGCTCTTAGAGTAAGCATAATTTGGCAGATGGAAAAGGATAGCATTTTCACCCAGACCTAAGAACATCAGACTGATGTTGTAGAAAAGAAATCCATTCGCTGTTATCAGAGGCATGTTTCTTTTAACATAACTCCACCATCTTTTTTGCAAGTTTGAATTAAGAGTGTTGGAATGTAAAAGTGTTGAATCTGTTTTCATGTTGTTTTCTTTTTCTACGATCAAAAAACGATTTCTTGAATATTTTCTTTCCTCGCAACTCCCTGGTTTCTTTTCGGTCACCTTGATTTGATTATTGTCCTGCATATTATGGTCATCCAAACCATTCCTCCTATTGTCAATAAAGTCAGATTTTACACCAGCATCACAGTGCTCCTGTTCTTCCGTCAAGTTACTCGATTCATCCTGATGTTTGTTACCTTCAACAAAGAGCGTGACTGACTGGTAATCATGCAGTTGATCTGGGACGATAACGTTGACTGTAGCTTGTTGTCTTGGCCTCATCAGAGATCCTGCGACACAGAGGTGACTCCCTATGGCAGCAAAGATGAGAAACGAACCACTGAGAGAATAGGTTTTTAGTAATATGGCAACTAAAGGGCCTCCAGCAAACAATCCCATGGCGGTTCCGGCTGTCGAGACGCCAAATGCAAGAGGGAGGCGTTTTTCAAAGTAGAGTCCAGGTATGGTACCTGCTGCATTTATTGCTAGACCTGCTCCCAAACCTGGAAAGCAGTAAAAAAAAGGTTAGGAAGACCAAGAGAAGTGTTATGTATTTTGTAGTTATGTACAGGTATAGCATACTTCGAGACGGGGGCACTGTACATTTAACCCGCTTCATCAGTCAATCACTAATTTGAGTAATATATTTATGTTTGATATAGATATTTCTCTTGCATTCATTCTCTCTATTGTTGTCTCGCGTTATTTCTCAAATGATAAATGCATTGTGGTGACTTCTTCCTGATCCATTTCATATCGAATATAATATGTTTGAACGAAATCGCCTAATAATATTATAATGTCTAATTTTAAAGTAATGAATAAAAAAAGTTTAGATATAGATTTTCCTCGCACATTCTGTCTTTCTAATGATATTATGAAGTCTTCTTTTACCTGTCAGGATGCCATTCGTGAACAAAAGACCATTGACGCTCTTTATAAAGGACGATACACACAGACCAATCAGAACCAACGTTCCTGCAAGACAGGAAGCCGCTTTGCAGCCAAATCTGCTTGTAAAAACTCCAGCTATAGGACCTGAGAGAAAAACGGTCAATTTATTGATGAGGTTTTTGCAGAATACAAGTTATCCAGCAAAAAAATATTAATAGTTAGATTCTTTATCGTTGATAACTTCTTAATTCTAAAGGGCAAAGTGAAAAATATGATTGTGATTTTTTTGCGAATATCAATTAACCTACATGTATTGAGTCAATAATTTATTTCCAAGGGGAAAAGAATTCGTAGCATTAGGAGAAAAAGTTTAAATGTCCATGTGAAAGTGCTGAAATCACATGCTCCGTAATTGGTCTCCAAACCAAACATATTTGGGCAACGATGCAGCGGTGCATGACAAAGTTTTCATTTGCTGATTTGTGATTCTTGGTTGCTACACATCTTCCTACATTGTTGAAAGTGTAAAACGGGACCTTTGATCTTGAAAATGTGAACAATTAGAATAATTAACAATCTGTAACAAGGTCTTTGAAAGACATTTAGAAGTGATATACATAAGGAAGAGAATATATGGATGTCAACTTCTTTATTATGAGGAACACAACGTTTTGGAGTATATGCTTACTCCTTCATCAGATGAAAGAATGCCATCAGGCAGAGAGCATTTATATGTACATGTACGGACAACATGAGTGAGTGAGTATGGTTTTACGCCACTTTTAGCAATATTCCAGCAATATAACGGCGGGGGACGCCAGAAATGGGCTTCACACATTGTACCCATGTCGGGAATCGAACCCGGGTCTTCGGGGTGACGAGCGAACGCTTTAACCACTAACCTACCCGACCGCCCCTGTAAGGACAACAAAAATTAATAAGATAACGAAAGGTGGAAACAAATAAATGGTTATCACCTATCAGCGCCAATCATCTGTTGGCTAACAAGGGAAGCCAACAGATGATTGGAGTTGATAGGTGATAACTCTTTGTTTTTTTCAACCTTAGTTACCTGATTAATTGTTTTGTACTTACATGTAAATATATGCTCTCTGCCTCATAATCCCGATCGTGTTTGTTTAAGATAGGGGGTCATATCAAAAAACTGTACGGGACAAGAGAACAATTTGTGACACAAAGATACACAATAGATACGTTTTTCCATCACATCTCAAATTTACACAAGTCACAGTCCAAAAAGTGAAACAGTATTGTCATAATCGTTAACTGGTTTCTCTTCTACCCCCTATTGGTATGGTCTTCGTTTCGAAACATCTTCTTGGGTGGCATCAAACTAACTTGATTGTGATCGCAGTGTTATCCTGCTCATTCTCCACTTTCTCAATGAATTTGTACGGATTTGGATGCCACCCCTCGAGATGATCTGTTGACGTCGACTCACTACTCAATTACATATTATTGTGCTTTGTGACAAAGTCATCTTGAGTGTTTTGTGTTGGTTGGGCATTCTCTTTAGGAACATTTCCAATGAATGAAATTGTCTTAATCATGACATTGTATTCGGCAATAATCAAGTGGAATTAACTATTTCTTGTGTGTAATATGATTCCTTTTATAGCCCAAATCGTACTAAATGATTAATATGTTCACTCACTCACAGATACATAAGTTTTCATTCAGTACAGTGTATGAGTTGTGTCATTATATTTTGTGAGATATTCGCCAATTAGTTGTATCATAATCCCTGTGTTGTTGTCTTACCGATCCCCACGCTTGGGTGAATTTATACCGACAGCAAAAGCGCGTGGAACACCGGGAACTCATTTTAACCCCAGTTATGGAAATCCCCTCAGTGGCGGCATGTTTCGTTTGGGGGACAATTTAGCCTGTTTTTAATCGTATGTCGTTTGGTCAAGCCTTTGTGAATAGGTATGTCCTAAAGTATTAAAATCTACAAAGTTGCTCTACCTACCTGACAACGTGGTCGTTCCAACCAAAGTGGAGCCGATCCAAGATGTCCGCGAAAGGTCATTTTCTACCTCTTCCAAGATGGCGGTGTTGAATACGCCAGGCGAATATAACAACATCCCTATGATGAAGTTGGAAAAGGTTGCAGCAAGCAGAACAACCCAGGCATATCCACTGTCAGTATCCTTGAGTTGTCTTGTATCCATGGCAAATGTACCCCTTTGTTCGTTGGCGCTGAAAATCACACCAAGGAAATACAACTGCAGACAGTGAGTGCGTTAGAAATTCATCATGCCATATTCATATATGTAGTTTTCGTTAGATTCATTGTGACCTCCACAAGGTTTTAAAAGCTATACGCAGGACAAGTGTATGTTTTGAGGATTACAAAGTTAATAAAACGTTATTTGAGAGGCACTGCAGTCGTTAAGCCCCGCACTCTGTGTGTCCACCATTGCCATGAATGACTGCACAACATCCTCTGTGAAACCTGTGAATGACACTAAATAAATTGCTTCAGATTATGTGACACTTGTTGATGCTGATGTTAACATCTGTCTAGCTCATCCCACGGATAATCAATTGCGTTGAGATCTGGTGACATTGACGGCCATTACAGTACGTTTATGTTCTGAGATCTCGGGCAATCAGTAATCATCATGTGTGGGGAAGAACATCGTCATGCCGTACCATAGCGCCTGCTGCTTGCAAAGATGGAGAGACGTTTATTCATGAATGAAGGCCACATGGCCCAGAGTTCATTTACATGAATAATGTATACTATGCACACGCACATATTTTCTTAAAACAAACGTTAATATGTTTTACATTTGGATTTACATAGGTAAGTGTCTTTTTAAATATATGGACAGATTTTTGACAACAGAATCATTTCTGATAGATAGAAGACTGATAAATTTAGGAACAGATGGTTGCACATGGTAACATTTTGGAATTAAATTTACTCTACTACTTTTATAATAAGTACAAATTAACAAAAAAGGGTATTCATTTTCTATTTCATAGCGGTTACATTTCGTACATAAACTTAACGATGACTCTGTGGTTGTATTAAATCGAGTTTTCTGTACATTCAGATTAAGGCTTAAACAACAGAATTTACATATAGCTCTAAGAAGATCTCTTTCACATGCTAAAGTATACGGATATTTTACTGGTTCGAGTAATGTTTATAAGATCAAGGAAAGAGTAATTGGTGATTTTGTAATGCCAGTTTTGGAATTCTATAACTTAACATTGTTGTTTGAATATAACCATGAAGCATTTCATATCGCCGCAATCCTGAGACAACCACACATATGGTACCCAGTTTGAAACAATAATTGTCTTACAAAGGAAACCCATTTAGTTTGACCATTGTCGTCAAATGCTTTTAACATATGGTAACAGGCATACGGATATCCTGTTTCATGTAATCTAAGTAGTACTTAATACAATGACGGTAATAGTCTATACACAATGATGTTCTTCCTAGCTCTTCTAGAATTGCATTTGTTGATGTTCTTACCAATGCTTTATCTATAAGCACATCCCCATATTTCTGACCCATATAAAAGAACAGGAGCAATCTTTGAATCAAATATTTTAGCAGCAGTAGAAAATTGGAGAGATGTGAATTTCTTTATCATATTTAACACAGGAAAAGTCGCTTTCCTTGCTTGAATAGCTAGTGTATCACATGCTTTAGTCCAAACAAGCCTTGAGGGGATAGTAGACCAAGGTTTTGAAATATGATACAACTTCAATTTGCAAAACTTTATAAAAACATTTCTCAGTTTTCCTCAGATAACCACCCTTTCTAAAAACTATGACTTTTGTCTTATCGAAATTAACGTCAAGGCCCCATTTGTCGCAATAAGAGTCATAAGCATCTAGTTTTCTCTGAAGTCGAATTACACAATCGTCGATAAGAGTGACATCATCAGCAAATAATAATAACATGATTTCATCAAAATTATCTTTCACAAATATGCCTCTTAGACCATTAGCCCTTAGCTCCATTTCACGTACAAAGTCGTTTATAAAAAAGTATAAAAAGAACAGGACTCAACATGCATCCTTGTCGGGACGTTCTCCACGATAACGTGTACCTGTGAAGTTGCCTATGATATGAACAAGATCTGATCGTCACCCATAAGAGATGGCCTCCCACATTATGACACTTCCTGTACTTTTTGTAAGCAACGTCCTTTATAATGCTCATTCCATCGCAGATACACACAGATCTACCCATCTATTCTTTGAAGAAGGAACATGTTTACGGCACAATGCAAAACCTTGCACCAAGGTTTGGCCCCCTTATTAAATCGTCTAACCCCCTCCCACCACCCCTGCACGACCCCCACCCGCGACAAATACTGATGCAGGGGTAGTTACGATGAATAAGAACCTGCCGAAACAATGGACATAGCGCACTCTTGTGATATAAGCTTTAGATACTACGGAGGAAATTGATTAAACCTAAGCAGAGTCACACCTTATGGTGTGGCACACAGTGGCAACCTCTGTACCAAGCCGACCCTCTAACAATGCCTCGCGTGTATTAAAAGGCTCTCCACTGGATGACACTAAATTCGAATCAAGGAACAGTAACTTGTTAGACGAATTGATGTCATACGGCAAGAATGAGTAACACATCTCCCTGTTTACAAGAACTTGCGTCACAAGAACGTTCCTATACTTAAGTTGTCACAAAACCTACTTCCCAGAGATAATGAGTCCAGCAACATTGCACTGCGCCCTCATTACATGACCTTGTTTATTTCACCAATGTGTTCATGCCAAGTTATGAAGAAGCGGCTCAAAAACTCTGTGGTGTTACACAGAGTGGCAACCTCTGTTGTGTTACACAGAGTGGCAACCTCTGTTGCAGGCCATCACTGAAACATTGCCTCACGTCCAATTCATTAAAGTCTCTCCAAATCGCTTATTCTGAATCAAGGAACAGTAACTTGTCAGATAAATTGATGTCAGAGGTCAAGGAAATCAACACATCTTCACATGTTCCTACATTCTTGTTGTTACCAAACCTATTTCGAGCAATATTGAACTGAACTCTCATTACATGACCTTGTTTATAGGGATCAGTTTCAAACATACCAGTCAGAACGTAGGTAATATAGGGATCAGTTACAAACATACTACAGTCAGAACGTAGGTAATATAGGGATCAGTTTCAAACATACCACAGTCAGAACGTAGGTAATATAGGGATCAGTTTCAAACATACCACAGTCAGAACGTAGGTAATATAGGGATCAGTTTCAAACATACCACAGTCAGAACGTAGGTAATATAGGGATCAGTTTCAAACATACCACAGGCAAGCGTAGTTAATATAGGGATCAGTTTCAAACATACCACAGTCAGAACGTAGGTAATATAGGGATCAGTTTCAAACATACCACAGTCAGAACGTAGGTAATATAGGAATCAGTTACAAACATACCACAGTCAGAACGTAGGTAATATCGGGATCAGTTACAAACATACCACAGTCAGAACGTAGGTAATATAGGGATCAGTTTCAAACATACCACAGTCAGAACGTAGGTTATATAGGGATCAGTTTCAAACATACCACAGTCAGAACGTAGGTAATATAGGAATCAGTTATAAACATACCACAGTCAGAACGTAGGTAATATCGGGATCAGTTACAAACATACCACAGTCAGAACGTAGGTAATATAGGGATCAGTTTCAAACATACCACAGTCAGAACGTAGGTAATATAGGGATCAGTTTCAAACATACCACAGGCAGAGCGTAGTTAATATAGGGATCAGTTTCAAACATACCACAGTCAGAACGTAGGTAATATAGGGATCAGTTTCAAACATACCACAGTCAGAACGTAGGTAATATAGGAATCAGTTATAAACATACCACAGTCAGAACGTAGGTAATATCGGGATCAGTTACAAACATACCACAGTCAGAACGTAGGTAATATAGGGATCAGTTTCAAACATACCACAGGCAGAGCGTAGTTAATATAGGGATCAGTTTCAAACATACCACAGTCAGAACGTAGGTAATATAGGGATCAGTTTCAAACATACCACAGTCAGAACGTAGGTAATATAGGAATCAGTTATAAACATACCACAGTCAGAACGTAGGTAATATCGGGATCAGTTACAAACATACCACAGTCAGAACGTAGGTAATATAGGGATCAGTTTCAAACATACCACAGTCAGAACGTAGGTAATATGGGGATCAGTTTCAAACATACCACAGTCAGCAGGGGGCTTCTTTTCTGTGCTTATACAAGACGTATTGTGTCATCCAATCCCTGAACCTTCAGTACATTAGGCTTTCCGCCTATATATAGAGATTTAGGTCGCCTGACAACCCACATACCGTTCAAAGCTACCTCAAATACTCTAGGGCTACTGCTCTTTCAAAACGTCTTGTTGTTGTTGAACACTTTTAATATGAACGCTACTATGGTTTCGTTATTACCACAACAATACATGTATAGCGATCGCTAATTAAGTAAAGCATATAACATCAGCAGTTATCCTGTTCACCGATTTTAATGCAGGGCGGTACATAATGACATGATTACGTAAACTGGCACTTTGTTGGAAGTGGCTAGGCATGAATAATATTGAAATATTGCGATATACAGTCAAACAACTTGATCCCGAAATCCTGGGGACGATATAAAAAGATCAACCTCATAACTGTCCGACCTAGCCATCAGACAACAGAAAACAAACTTACACAATTTGTCACACCTATATGCATGTTATTCAATGTATGCAATACCCGTGAAGATCCAGGGTAGAATAGGTCTTCAGCAACCTATGCTTGTCATGAGAGGCGACTAACGGGATCGGGTGGTCAGGCTCGCTGACTTGGTTGATGCGTGTCATCGTATCTCGATTGCGTGGATCGATGCTCATGATATCTATCACTGGATTGTCTGGTCCAGGCTCGATTTTTTTAAGACCGCCATCATATAGCTGGAATATTGCTGAGTGCGACGTTAAACAACAAACAAACATCATTTATGGTAAACAATAACTTCCTCCAATATACGAAGGCTCAAGTATTAGCCTTACATAAATCATTTTATCAAAACACATATTCCCAAATAAAAACATTCCGTGGTATTTCCGGACCCGTGAAGATACGGGGTAGACTAGGTCTTCAGTAACCCATGCTTGCCGTCAAAGGTGGCAATGTTTGTCGTAAGCGGCGGCTGACGGGATCGGGTGGTCAGACTCTCTGCCATGGTTGATGCATGTTATCGCATTCCATTTGCGTAGATCGATGCTCATGATGTCAATCACTGGATTGTCTGGTCCAGACTCGATTACTTACAGACCGCTGTCATTTATCTGTAATATTGCTGAGTGCGGCGTTAAACAACAAACAAACAAACAAACAAGCCAAATTAGCTATTTCAGTGGCATCACACCTGTGCACAAGGAATAAATAAATATGTTGTTCTGTACATTGAGGGTTACTGTAGGGGTCATTACTGTGATAATATTGTACGATGAATGAATATCAGGTGATGCTAATTGGGGGCTACTACATGTATTTAGGTCACACAGTACAGTAGCAGTAATGTGATGGTGATAAGTGGCTACACACCAGCTTGCTTATAATGTGAATCGGGCCATCACGGCTAATGCACAGTTCCGACGGGCGTCACGAAACTTCGCCTCCTATGGATACTTTTGCTATGAAATGGGGTTTAACGTCGCGTCACTTATATAGCGACGTGCATGTACGTGTGTGTGTGTAGCTTACTCAACCGCCGGTATTACTGCCTGTCGCTAAATGGGCCATAAGGGTGTGGGTGTGTGTGTGTGTGTTGGGGGGGGGGGGGGGGGGGGGGAGGTGTGACGCATGGAGGGTGTCTCCTTTCCTATTACCATGAGTTAGTAACTGTTATCACGCGAGTGTGTCCGTGAGTGTGTCCTGTATTTAGAATAAAGATTGTATTCAGCAAGTCTTGGCCCCAAACAAAAACACACAAGCGTGACAACCTATTTCACATCACAAATGCCGGATAATCAATACACGTCGTGTGAATAAATAACGTTGCACAACTCCCAATTAAATAATAAATGAAATGTGACTTTGCTGTACATTTGAGGTGGGATGGTTGATAAAACATGCACTTACGATATTTCTCTCTCTTTTCTAGCGAGTGATGCTGCACGGCCTGTTATTATCCAAAGTGCTATGGCTGGTGCATTATGAGCTCTCTGTACAACTGGATCGTGATCGCTTGGCTTCCAGGCAGCAGCTTTAGGTTTTCATGTGACAGGGTTCTGCGCTCACGATTGAACATACACAGTGTACGGAGCTTCTGGATAGACCTGCCAACGGGACGTCACGATAACGCATCCGTTTGATTGGCTCGTGTTAATTTGATGATACTCGATATTACAGTTTAGTTTCTGTGGACTGTGGAGGGCTAAGCAAGCCCAGTCGACACATCTGTATGTTCATTTATCCAACTGGCAAGAGATGTTATCGGGTAATACACTCTTCAAAAAACAAACGCACAGGTAGTATGTAGTTCATTCAACCTGACTACACAAAAACTCCGGTATATATATTGGATATATGTTATTCGACAAACGGTGCGTCAAAACGCAGCCATTGTCGATTTGCAGTGTCTTAAACGGCTTTGTTTTCACACTTGTTCAAAAATGTCATGGAGGAAATCAATAAAGCAAAATGCAGGTGCAAGTTGTATCTTTTGTACTTTGTACTTTGTACACTTTTGCTAGTGGCTATAAAAAGGCAAGCATAAGCCAATAATTTGTCATTCAATTGCCAACATTTTGTTCGAAAATGCCGAGACTCAGCGCTGCCGATCGGAACATCGCCATAGGATGTATCCAAAGAGGGGAATTGCAGTCTTCTGTTGCACGCCTCTTCAACGTCCACCACAGCACCATTTGCCGCCTTTGTGGCTGATACACACAGTTTAATTCCACTGCAGAGCGTCCGAGAACCGGCCGACCAAGAGTTACCACCCCTGCACAGGATCGCTACATTCGACTGTTCCACCTCCGTCATCGCAATGCCACAGCTACGGAGACTGTAGGGGGGGAGGGGGGGGGGGGGGGGGGGGGGGGGGACGCATGGAGGGTGTCTCCTTTGCTATTACCATGGATTAGTAACTGTTATCACGCGAGTGTGTTCGCGAGTGTGTCCTGTATTTGGAATAAACATTGTATTCAGCAAGTCTTGGCCCCAAACACAAACACACAAGCGTGACAACCTATTTCACATCACAAATGCCGGATATTCAATACACGTCGTGTGAATAAATAACGATGCACAGCTCTCAACTGAATAATAAATGAAATGTGACTTTGCTGTACATTTGAGGTGGGATGATTGCTAAAACATGCACTTACGATATTTCTCTCTCTTTCTAGCGAGTGATGCTGCACGGGCTGTTATTATCCAAAGTGCTATGGCTGGTGCATGATGAGCTCTCTGTACGATCTGGAACGTGATCGCTTGGCTTCCAGGCAGCAGCTTGTGTTTTTCATGTGACAGGGTTCAGCGCTCGCGATTGAACATACACAGTGTACGGAGCTTCTGGATAGATCTGCCAACGGGACGTCACGATAACGCATTCGTTTGATTGGCTCGTGTTAATTTGATGATACTCGATATTACAGTTTAGTTTCTGTGGACTGTGGAGGGCTAAGCAAGCCCAGTCGACACATCTGTATGTTCATTTATCCAACTGGCAAGAGATGTTATCGGGTAATACACTCTTCAAAAAAACAAACGCACAGGTAGTATGTAATTCATTCAACCTGACTACACAAAAACTCCGGTATATATATTGGATATATGTTATTCGACAAACGGTGCGTCAAAACGCAGCCATTGTCGATTTGCAGTGTCTTAAACGGCTTTGTTTTCACACTTGTTCAAAAACGTCATGGAGGAAATCAATAAAGCAAAATGCAGGTGCAAGTTGTATCTTTTGTACTTTGTACTTTGTACACTTTTGCTAGTGGCAAAAAAAGGCAAGCATCAGCCAATAATTTGTCATTCAATTGCCAACATTTTGTTCGAAAATGCCGAGACTCAGCGCTGCCGATCGGAACATCGCCATAGGATGTATCCAAAGAGAGGAATTGCAGTCATCTATTGCACGCCTCTTCAACGTCCACCACAGCACCATTTGCCGCCTTTGTGGCTGATACACACAGTTTAATTCCACTGCAGAGCGTCCGAGAACCGGCCGACCAAGAGTTACCACCCCTGCACAGGATCGCTACATTCGACTGTTCCACCTCCGTCATCGCAATGCCACAGCTACGGAGACTGTAGGACACATCCCTGGTTTGGGTAGGATATCAGACCAGACAATCAGGAACCATCTTCGCAAGGGTGGAAGACCAGTTATCGTCCCTGTTTTGCAATAGATCCATCGACAGCGACGCTTACGTCAGTGCCATACTTTACAGCCTTGGAATTTGAGAAACGGGAGACGTGTGCGATTTAGCGATGAATCACGATTTCTTCTTCACCGGCGAGATGGAAGACAACGTGTTTATCGTCGTCGAAATGAGCATTTTGCCCCACAGTGTGTACGTGAATTCGACAATTTCGGTGGCGGTAGTGTCATACCACGAGATCTGAATTGGTTGTGGTTCAAATTCTTCAACCTCACCTCCTTCCAATCACTGACCGCCAGAGGGAGTTGTTTCAACAGGACAACGCTCCACCGCACACAGCTCGTGTCAAGGTGTCAAGGTTCACTGCCGAACAGCTTGTCCCCCAAGCGAAGACCTTTACAGGCACGTGTTATATTTGTATTCGCACGAAGGCGGCTTTTTAATTTTAGGTATTCGAAGGAAGGCGAATGGTGGTCGTCTTTGAAGTTGTTTTGCTTGTGTTTATTTAAGGGATCATGATTGAGGGGTGTGAAAAACTAACCTGTGTTAGCTGCGAGTCCAAAACCTGAACCATGTTCATTTAGTACTGATTACCAAACTTTCACCACCTTACCTTATTCTGAGGGGCGGTCGGTAGCCTAGTGGTTAAAGCGTTCGTTCGTCCCGCCGAAGACCCAGGTTCGATTCCCGACATGGGTACAATGTGTGAAGCCCATTTCTGGTGTCCCCCGCCGTGATATTGCTGGAATATTGCTAAAAGCGGCGCAAAACCATACTCACTCACTCACCTTATTCTGTGGAATAGAAACATTACGTACGTATATTTAATTAAGATATATGATTTGCTAAAGTTATGTGCATCAAATTCGAGAGTTTCCCCCAATCCCGAGGTTGCAGCTGTTTGTGTGGTGGTGGTTTGAAGTGAACTACCGGCAAGATAAAGTCAGGCGAGGTTTATTGTATCGGAGATAAGGTATGCACGACGAGACTAACACGAGAACTGTCATCGACATCTCGACGCAAGAGGGAGCCAGTTTTACCTTCTCACCGTGACTACTGCTACTGAATTTGTATGGGTGAGAAGTGTTTTTGCTTGTAATTATAAGATGTTTCAACAGGTTACCAAGGACTCACGCGCAATTACATTGTTTATTTGTATCTTCGTTGTGTAAGTCATTGTTATCGCCCATTAGCAGTGAATCTGATATGACAATACACTCCAATATGTCGAGGGAAAGTTTTCCGTCTGTATCCCCCTCCAAAAGTTTTATATATTTAAATGTAACGTGTTTCTCTCAACTATAGGGGCGGTGGGGTAGCCTAGTTGCTAATGCCTTCGCTCGTCACGCTGAAGGACCGGGTTCGATTCACCACATGGGTACAATGCGTGAAGCCGATTTCTGGTGTCCCCCGCTGTGATATTGCTGGAATATTGCTCAAAGCAGCATGAAACCATATTCATTCATTCACTTTCAACTATTTATATTTTTAAGGGGTATACGGTCGAACGTCTAATGAATATCACATACAATACGAGAGCTGGTCAAAATGTTCAAAGCCTAACAAACAAAACCAAAAGTTGTGAAAGTGTTTTTCACGTTTACGCTCAGCAGCCCAAAGCTTGGGCCGGCCTCTGTGGCCTAGTGGTAGAGGGTCCCCCTGGCCGCGTCAAAAAACGGGAAAACGGGCGCTCGACATTAAGGGGTAAAACAAGGACTGGTCGGCTCGGAGTCAGTGGGGTATGCATAAACTGCGACATGGTATCTCAGTGGGCTAGCACTATAAATCGGCATCAATCTGGACTAGTACAAGCAACCACACACACATGTACATCGCTATATAAGTGCAATAATATTGGACGCGACCTTAAACCCCATTTCATAACTAAAGTATCCATGGCAGACGAAGTTTCGTGACGCCCGTCGGAACTGTGCATTAGCCGTGAAGGCAATATTCACATTTTAAGCAAGCAGGTGTGTAGCCTGACCACCCGACCCCGTTTGTCGCCTCTAACGACAAGCATAGTCGCCTTTTACGGCAAGCATGGGATGCTGAAGACCTATTCTAACCCGAATCTTCACGGGTCAGCTAATTTGGTATGATATACTTACAATGGCATACTGTATCACAGTGGAAAGTTAAATGAGACCAACACTCATCCTCAGTATGCAGAGCAGGATATGGATTTAGAATGTACGTGATATGCAAGAAATTATTTTGTTTCGTGAGATTTTAACTTTATGGTAGCATACGTCACAATGGCTGACATTCCGACAACATATGACCCATATTGTATGGAAATAATGACCATACTATGCTTATAGTTCTATCGACTGTCCTTTGAATAGTTCAAAATATCTTAGCAGTTCATATTGTATTATGAATTTATGAAGATACGCATTATCGTTACTACAACATTAAATGTAAGTCAATATATATATACGATTGTATTTCAAAATTAACTAGAATATAAAATTAATACAAATTACTACACAAAGTACACATAAATTACAATGGCAGTACACAATGAGTGCAAGTACAATATTCAATGACAGTATAAAATGTTAGCATGGTGAAAATTACAATGTCAAGAATAACAATCTCCTCGCCGCAACATGATCAAGCTTCCGAGAGGCAGATAAAGGCTGACAACCAGTGTGAAGGGTGATCTTGAAAGCTGGTCGTGATTTAATGTGAGATGAAGTGTGTGTGTATACGTGCGTGCGTGCTTGCGTGCGTGCGTGCTTGCGTGCGTGCGTGCGTGCGTGTGTGTGTACGTGCGTGCTTGCGTGCGTGCGTGCGTGCGTGCGTGCGTGTGGGTGTTTCTGCGTGTATTTGTGAGTGGTTGGGATT